CTTTATGTGGTTAATTTCTTTATTTATGTAGTCCGTTGAACAGAGTCTTGTAGCTGTGTTTATAAGGTTTTTAAGTGCATTGATTTTTTGTGTGGTGTCATGAGCGGAATTCCAGGGGATGTAGAGGCCAGTGTGTGTGCTCTTGCGGCGAATTATGGTTTTAAACTGTGTGTCCGATCTAATAATTTTGAAGTTAAGAAAAAATAACTGTTTATTGTTTTCGTGTTCTATGGTAAATTTGATGTTGATGAATGGAGTTTATGTGTTCAAAGAAAGTCAGTGTGTGTTCTGTAGAAGTGAAACCAGCAAAAGTGTCATCGACATATCTGTACCAGTATAGTGGGGGATGAAACTCACAATGTATGGCTTGTGTTTCGATCTGGTTCATAAATATATTGGCAAGAACGGGCGAAACAAGATTGCTCATACTTAAACCATCTATTTGAAGGAAATGTTCGTTGTCGAAAATGAAGTTGGTTTTAGTCGTTGTATATTCTAAGAGAGAAGCAAAAAGTATGCTGGGGATGTGCATTAACTTGTTGGGGTCATTAATGTAGAGGTTGAGTGCAATATTGCAAGCTTCATTGGCGGAGACTTCGGTGAAAAGTGACACGACATCAAAACTAGCCATTAAGGCTTTCGAATTTAGTTGTTCTAGTGTATATTTGAAATTGAAGGCATCTTTAAAAAATGGCATAAGTAATCTGTCAAAACCAGTGAAAGAAATATGTAAGCAGCAAGTCAAATTCATCTGAAAGCACAACAGAAACGAATAGCAAAAATAGCATCTCGTTAGGAAACCAGCGGGGAGTAGGTGCTGACAAATTCTTATGTTTTCAAAATATTATTAAGGATTAGTGGAAAACTGGTGAATAGTTATGCACAAACACCGAATTCAAAATCACAAAATCTTTTATGTTCCATCACGACCATGTTTCAGCTTTCAATTGATTAAAGTCAGCATGTTTCATAATGAAACTAAAACTAGAGAAAATCATTTCATAAGCACACAAAGGATAACGCTCTGCTTCTTTTAAACAAAACTATCCAAACAATCTTGCTTAATTTTCTTCCAGAAAGTGTTATTTTCATAAATTTTAACTAGTGTTTCTGTAAATATTTGAATATCGTCTATTTCGGGACATTTTCTTTAAATTATTTAACGTTAAGCTATTTTAGTTTTACTGGTTAATCCTTATTCTGACACATTTTGTAATAGAATCATTTATTGTTTTAAATATCCATATTCTGTCTGAACACCAAAACGTTAGATATGAGCTACGGTAGCTTGTGTAGTTCAAAATTGATCTTGTATAATATAGGAAAATAAACAATTGGAAATATTTTGTATTGGGCGTCATAACTGTAATTATTAGCAAAAAGTTGGTTTTCTAACAAGCATCAAGTCCGTCTGTACTTGCGACAATATTAGAGCTGCAACTAGTAAGTTACTGACTAAAAGTCCTATTATCTTTCTTTATCACCATATTTTCCACTATTTTTATGAAGTCAGTAACATAACATGGCTAGATTGCTTCTTTTTTTTCGTGAAATATATCATTGGATATGTACAATTGGAAATACCTTCACAAGTCGTGCCTTAGTAAGCTATGTGGGTATTAAGAACAAATAACTAATATTTAAATATGTTTAGTATGTAATGGCCTACCTACTCCATTCCTCTTTATATTTGGCTTCGTTAAATATTGCGGATTATAACGTGTACAATGAATTCTAATATATTTTCAAACTAATGTTTATACTTATGAAGGTTAGTTTCTATTGTTAGTTTAGTATATTGATTAAGAACTTATTGAACTCTACTAAGCTGACCGAACCTCGTGAAATAATATTGAGATTATGATCGAAAATGATATTAGTTCATCAGTGTGTTGTATAAAATTAGCTCCATCTTTTAATTTATAACTTACTGCTTAGCTCCAATCTATATACTTAACTCACTTTCATAAATTTTTATTAAGTCGAAAAAAGGTTAATTTCCCCATCATCTACATAAATCTTAATACTAGGAAAAGGTTCTAAGAGACCAGATGATGCTTAACTTCAAAACTGTGGACATACTGATCTAAAACTAAGATTACAAACATGAAATTGAAGACCAAAGGGCAGTCATTTCGGTTCCAACCATCGCTTCATTCCTTGGAGCTTGCAATGTGATAACAGAAGGCGACTTTTTTTTTATAGATTTCTACACTAAGAATATAATTCATGTCATTATATGATGCAGCAATTTCTCAAGATTTTCTGCACAAACTCAAAATTTATTTTGTTTTAATTTTAGTTTTAATGCCAATATTTTTCCAATTAGCAACAGCATTATCAGTTAAATTATGAAGCGCAAGTCCTCAAGAATACCTTTCTGTGTTCCATAACCCTAGTTTTGTAAGCCTTTCCTATTTAATCATAGTACATCTTCAGGTAGCCTGCACAAGACATGCCACAAACATTCACAGCTGTCTATTTAATAAAACACGCCATGAAAGTGTCGAAACTAGTTTCACAGTCTATGTACTAATATTTCATTCCAAAAAGCCTGATTTTTCATTAACCGATGTAGAAATTATCATCGGAATGTCACTGAAGAAGGTGAAATGTCTGCCTCTTAGTTCTATATTGCCATTTTTTTGAAATACTAATCAAAATGTCCAATAACTTTAAACTTATAGAATGTGAATTCAACATTAACTGTAAACTTCCCAATTTTTCAAGTTGGAGCAGATGCGTCTTTCAAACATACAATTTCCTGTTACCATAATTCATCTTAAAACAAAGACAAACATTTTTTTTTTAAATTTAAAACGCGCATTTTAGTGCAAGTAAAAACTTCAAAAGTAAATTAATAAACAAAAATTTAAGAAATTCGTACAACATCGAACATACTAATGTACAGATGCACTACGAGAATGTAATACGGGATTAGCGAGCTCGATGCTAATTACTTTATGCGTTCTAAATGACAAAAAAATGTTCTATTGGCGCGTCTTTCGAAGCCGATACTTCTGTTTCGTTAAAGACTAGTGTTAAGAAGTACTAACAACAAGGTGAATTCCTCCAGCCTGTCTGCCAACATTGGTGATGCGACGTAATGTAGAAGACTCTTCCGGAGCGTGAGGGAAAGCACAGTAACTCGTGAGAGTTTGTAAGGAACAAGCTCTTCTGCAGCATTCGTCCGCCACTCCAAACCGCCTGTTCGCTAGAGTATTTTGTTGGTTAACAACTGCCGAGTCTCGTCTAAGTCGTTCCAAGAATGATAGAGAAGCTAGAAAATAGAAAGTTGATGTTAATGGTAAACTTCAATATTGTATTTGTAAAATAAGATATCCGTATAAGTAATTCTTTTTAATAAAAGTTCTGTAATATTCATGACTATTTTTGTAATTATGTATTTCAAATATACCCGATAGGACCATACTGATTGATATTGTGTTTGAATAACGAAGTGATAATTTTTGTATTAGAATGTTACAGGAACTTCAGAAAAATGTTTAAGCTATACATAAAGTAAGTTCATCAGAAAGGCCGGTATTCTTCAAAATTCCAAGTAAAATCACAGATGGTCAGAACTCAAAACGAACTGTGATAGAATACGAGTATAGATAACTTGTGATATTCGATAATATGTAGAAACAGAAATCCATTCTAGAACTGAATTAGAGCACTACTGTTCAGATATCACATCTGTACTGATTTAGTAATCTACTACAGGACTGTTTTAAGCAAGCAATAAATGACGTGACCAAGCGTAAGTCTGGTGAAAAACAACAACTGTATAATTGTTTTTAATACAAAAACTTCTTTTACTTAATATGCGGAGTCTCATTCCATCCTACAATACAAGCGAGTTGTTAAATTGTAATTATTCGTCTTCCTTCTAATTAAACATATAATCTTATTTCTTATCAATAAGTTCGCCAATTATCTGTCAATCATAAAATAATTCCAGCTAAAAGTCCTTTAGATAAGTGATTCTTAAACTTTTCAGTCCGGGTCCACTATTTGTGAGGGTGAGTGTTCAAATCCCTCTCCCTCATTTTCAGTTAAAATAAAAATCGACAGAATAAAAATATCGTCCGTGAACAACAAAGCGCTAGTACAACAATACAGTTTATTTTTAAATTATTTCATAACTTTAAAGCATTCAATCACAAATCATATAAAATACTGAAAAAGAAGGGTCGGGCGCGTCCTAGAAACTAGCTTGGTGGACTGTGTATCCGAATGTTCATGGTTCGCATCCCGTTGCTGAAAAAACGTATGTAGCGGAGACATGAATGCGTTATAGAAGTGACAGTCAACACCTAACATTCAATCACACAGAAATAGCTAAAGACTTTGCAACAGGTGTTGTTGACTAGCTGTCTTCCCATTAGTCTATTGGTTTGAAATTAGTGATTGTACATACTTTGGTTTACGAAAGTATAAGCTATCAGCAACACAAAGATACCTAGGAGTACAACTATGTGTGTGTGTGTGTAAAACAACTCCAACAGGTTACGTCAAAGTAGAGTCAATTTTTATTTGTTTTGACTTTTGATAAACTTATATACACTTTTCAAACGTTGTGTTGGTAATATTGGATGCTTCACACTTTCATTTTCTACGTGTTTTAGTGCGATAATTAGCTCCGCGTGTGGGTTAAAATTAGCCCACCTGAAAATTCAAAATGAAGGTCATGTATTTTTTTTTTTTTGCGGGCGAAGTATATATCTGTAAAACAGCAAAATGTGTGTCATTTAGTTATCGAAAACAAGAGTTTGAGAGGTCAATTCGTTATTATGATCGCAATACTACAATTACCAACTCTGCTCTGTTTCTTGAAACTTCGCCAAACTATTTAAATTGCCCATTTCCTCAATGACATATCGTGAAATTTAATTTGACAATAAACTCCACCTCTCCTCTAACAAAAAAAAAAAAAAAAACTAGCCTTGCGATTTCTCGACTTTGGTGTTACTAGAATACTGAAAACATGTACTACTGAGGAAATCAAGTGGTTTGACAGGACTTTAGTTGAATCTACTTGAAATTCTATCAACCTGGACACGAGCCTATACGAATGAAGGCAATATATTTAAGTAGTTGTATACCATGCAACCTACTTAAACAGTTGTATTTAAAGTTTGATATTTTTCATAATATACACTGGTTGAATTTTTGCCATCACAAAAAGGTTGTGAAGCATTTGAAAATTGCATAATTCATTAGCACCCATTAGGTTCATAAACGTGTCGTATTACTGGTATATTTACGATAAACTTGTTAAAACATCATGTCATATTCAGAACTTTTAAGGTGTATGAAATGTTGGGTATAATTGCGATGTCGTCTCGACAGACTCTAGTAAGCTCAATGAAGAGTAGAAACGTATGTTTATCATCAACGAATGAATCAGTTAGTATTAAATGCAATGGATTTTTAACATTAAGGATTTTTTTTTCAATCAACGGATTTGAAAATTTGTAGGATAATCTACTTTCATTAGTTTTGCAGTCAGTATTTCTTCGAGTTAATTATTTCCTAAGACACGCAACTCAAAATAGCTGTAATAATAAAATATTAAATTGTTTCCTATATAAAATGCTGTCAGTATCAAAAAATTATATAAATTAGTTTCTCCACTTCATTTCAGTAAAATTAATTGAATGATTGATTTGATGTTTCGAATATTCAGAATAAAAGAAAACACCAAAAGAGCACTCAGGATTTTTCTTTAAAGAGTTGCTTATTTACCAACAACAAATAAATTAAAACGACTTAAAACCAGAAGTTTAATTAAAACTTCAGCTTTATCATTTTGTTTTCATCAAAGGTCTAACTGAGTAATACAAATTCGATGACGAGGAACCCACTTTGAGACTAATAATGGCTAAGAGACGGCGTGTAGTAGGTAGTAGTAGAGA